CCCCCCCCCCCCCCCCCCCTGAACTATGTTTGGGGGACATAATTAGAGGATTCACCTGTCCTCAGCTCAGCGACGGTGAAAATAACATTAAACACCGCGAAAACAGTGCGGCGTACAGTAATAGTGGTTCACAGTAAATAATGGCTACATGAGTACCAATTAAATGCTTATTCTATCGCCAAAACGTATACACGCTTCTTTAAGATCTATCTTCATTCTTTTTGGGGATCATTCATGTCTATCCTTAACGAAAACTCAGTATTACAAGTGGCTGAACAAATAATACTTATCCGTACATGGGCTTCAATCGTAAGGTGCTTAAATAAATTCCTTTTAAAGATCCGTTACAAACACTATACTTAATCTAGTACAAAACAGACCGATCGGAAATGCATGTAAATATATTCAAATATTCATACACAACCTTAAAACATAAAAAGGATACATGTTGATGCATCCGTTTTAATTTAATGTTGATTGTTTGACAAATGAAAATTAAGTTCGAAACTTTAGATTTGGCGTTGTATAGGTAAATAATGTAGACGAATTTTGCCTACAGAGTACTAGGCTTTCGGTCAGTCGATTGACAAGAGGACCTGTACTAACATGCTCTGAACAAATAGCGTTATAAAAAACCAAAAGAGGTCTTAACGACCCGTGACTAGCTCTATGTATAATGACAAATCCCGGCTCACATTAAATACAATGTGTGTCTATATTGTGAAGCTCTTTTCAGTAATAAGTTTACCCTATCGATAAGACTTTGACGCACTGCCGAACGTTATTCGGGTCAGCCGATGACAGACAGCTATTGGCATGAGAAACGGAGTGTGTATTTTCGGTTTACTGTTTTGTTTCCGGATCAAACATTGACTTTAAATGTCCCTTCTGTATAGGATGGTGTGCAATCAAAGAACTGGGCATTTAAGTTAATAGAAATGCCCCGCTGTGACTTACAACTTCATTGCAATTGCCGTGGCGGAATAAATATGGACTTTTACATAGTTCGTTGACTCGAGATAAACAGAACAATTTCGATTTGTAACTTGAAAGGATATTACACCCATCTCCCGCATGTGATATGCGACCTTAACCAGCTTCCCTATTGGAACAGGTCATCGTTGGATTTCACGGTAAACGCCTAAATGCTTGCTAGAAATCCATGGACAACAGATTTTAAAACAGCTTGACCAATTCGTGTGTGTCTGAAATATTAAGAAACAGAAGTTTTAAAGAGTGATTGATCAATACATGCATGTCTGGAATCGAATGTTACAAAGTAATCTGAACAACTTGACCAAATCATCTGTGTCCGAAATCTATAAATAGAAGAGATTATGTTAAAACCAATCGACCAGTTTTTGATGTGGAATAACTGACCGTTGGATATTCTTCTTTTAAGGACTAGTGTGGATTTTGTTATACATCCAGCCATAGGTGGCTACAACATTTCAGTGTTCCAGGTAGTTCTTGAATGTGTTTATATATATTTTGTGTAATTCTATGTTGAAGAGTAATATCCATCCGATAATCGTGTGAAATTAGTCTTAACAGAGAGATGTCATATCATCACTATGCAAATATACGCGAAGGATTTTACTTTATTTGAATTTGTTTTGATATTTTTTCACGGATGAGTCGAAATTTGATGTACATATAATGAAATTTGCTATACTCTAGGTACTACTTGGGCCAAAACTGCCTCAAAACGTTACAGGTGTCATTGAGTCCCCTACAGTGACAGAGGTAAACTGTTTGGTTGCTGATGGTCAAACTCTATTGTGTCTGTGTTGTGTGTGTGTACTTCATATGAAGTATTAGAATCGTTACTTCAAAGAGGTCGCGTGACAAAATTATGTTAAAATGGCGAAAGGAGGAGGAGAGAAAGCATATTTTGTTGGAACGATAAAAAAGACAAATGAACCAAGTCGAAGTTTGGCTCGTGAGACAACCAAAGCGTCAATTACTTACGTCACCGAGCAGACGATAAAAGCTGGGGAAAGGGAAGAGGAGGGATCACCTTCCGGCGGTAGTAAAAAAGTACGTTTCATTGAAACACAAAATAATAAAGAACAAGCGTCTAAATATCCAGATAGCACATCAACAACATTACAGACAGAAACTACGTCCGGAGCGAAGGGGTCAAATTCGAGAACTGGTCCGAGAAATACAGCGAATGAAACACCGCAAAAGTCTCTTAGGACCGACTCAAGATTCAGCAAAAATGGGTCTCCAACAAAATCCATAGGAACTCCGTCTCGTGCTAGCTTAGCATCGAGTAGATTAAGTTCCAATGGGACAGCCAATGCATCCGGAGGTGTTCCTCAAAGTCCCGGAAGTCAACAAACTGAAACTGGAAGTCAATTTAAGTTTAATGCCAGTGCGGATGTTACTCCGGATTTGCATTCTTTAATTTCTCCACCTGGTAAGACAACCGGAAATAGTTTACCATCAGCGGCGTCAAGCAGTAAAAGAAGTGATGACTTCCGGTTCCATGCCGGATATGAGGACGATTTCGAAAAAGAGGATGAAAACCCAAAAGGAGCGAAAGGCGGAAAATTTGCTGCAACTCCGACTGAACAGTGAGTAGATGTTTTTAGTTTACATAAGGAATAAACGCCAATCTTGTGCTTAAGTTTATATAAAATGTACTAGTTTTCAATGTCAGTTTTCTCCTTCCTGAAACTATATGTGGTCACTTTAGACAAGTTTGCATTACTGTACAACTGTCCGTTATCTTCATTAAATAATTTTACTCGGTGATAAATAATATCACTCGTGAATCACTCTTGGATCAAAGGAACTTGACGTCGCTTTGTCGATACTGCACTCCGTTTGTAGAACAACGAATCGCTTAAATAAGGATACTAATGTAACGTTAAGTGTTTTTAAAAGTAAAATAAACTCAATCCGTAGCTAGTCAATATAATCCGTTAATCCACTCTTTTCTGAAATATATCGCCAAAAACACACTTTGTGTTCATTGACACTCGAGAGTCCCATTTTCAAGTTCAATAAATTACGAAAAGTCTGTTTATTTCCGTTGAATTATTGATAAGTTCATAACTGCACCAAACGTCTTTTGAAATCAAATTCATCTATTAAGTATAAAGTTTTACGCATTCTTTGCTTTTAACATGGTTGTTTAAATTTTCAATTTTAATGTTATTTATTAATAAAAAAAATCATATAATCAATATTTGCTTTTGTCCTCAAAATCTATATATTTGAGTATGAAGGTTCAATCATTTTGTTTTCTTTTATCTTGTTGAAAATGTACTATGAAATGTTTGAATAAGCTTGTCGTTATGCTTATCAGGATTCGAACGATCGAGCCTAGCTCTGTCTATTTGGATAAGTTATCATTAAAGCGCGTTGACTACCGTGCTCAACAGTTGTGTTTACAAGTACACAAAGTTACAAATAACCCCAGTGACGACTTGGGAGTACTACTCTTATAGAAACTGGTCTGGTAGTTTATGTGTTGAATAGGTAAATAAAATAATTTAAAACGATTCCCTTTCAAGGTGATTTGTAACAGAATCAAGCAAATTGATATGTAGTCATACGGAATATATTGCGTAGCCCGGTATTGGTTTGGTTTTATATTGTTTAACGACCTATCACCAGCTAAGGTCATTTAAGGAATTAATTGAGTTTTCATTTTATATGAGGTTTTTAAACGGGTCCATGACCCGTATTCATGAAACCGATGTTATGCTCAAACCCAGAGATTCTGTGCCCAAGTCCAATTTCTTGTGCTAGTGATAAATTAAAAAGAACAATCATATCTTGTCAATGATATGTTAGAAATTTGGACAGGCTTTATACCGAATACTGTTTTCAATTATTCCACTAGAATTTTTGACCATGTTACATAATCTAAGGGAGTTAAAATAAAGTTAACTTGAGAACAGAATTCACGCTTGAGCATGAGAACGATTTCATGAATACGGACCCAGATATGTGACATTGACTCGCATCATTAACAGTACTAAATGTAATAAAATCAAACTAACTGTCTACTCTATAGTGCCAACACTCTCTGCTACTATCTCAAGTTCACAATGTACAGCATCGTACCGGGCCAACTGTTCGAACAAACAGCTCGACAAAGGTGGATGTCAGTTATGAGAAAATACACGAAATACCAACGCATTTTGATTTATAAAGAACTTAAAAATGTTGATATCTTCAGTGCGCTCGAAATTTTGGCAAATAGCACAAAAATGATCGATTTGACAGGCATGTACTGCCACGTCTAGTCCCAAAACTTAAGTGGGGCAGGATTATGTTAAATGAGTATTTAAAGATTTAAGTCTCTTCGGTAGCCAAACAAACACAATTGTTTTAATTTCGAATTAATTTCATTACAACAATTAAATGTTCTAATGGATTAGGCTCAGACTTTAACCAACAGCCTTTTAAGACAAACACTCAAATCTAAAAGTTTTACATCTAAAACGTTACTCGAATGTACCTGAAAATGTTCGACTTCATGGAGAATCAAAAATCTTCCTATACTTAAAATTTCTGTTCGGAATAGAGAGGTTCTTGGAATACACGGGTTCAACTTGCATACGTACACAGTTTAAAGTTCTGATTTAGCAGGCTTCTGTATGATACATGTTTAAATAACATAACATTATATACACTGACACCTACAATGTAGCTAACCAACTGATTTAAATAGATTTCTGAAGTATGCAGTATAATCTGGGATTTAGTTTGGACATGTTATAACATGTGATTAATTCAAAAATAGGGGTCTTTGTTTGTTTGTTTGTTTATGTTTAACGGCCCATCGACGGCTCTGGTCATTTAGGGCCTATGTGAAATTTACCTGATTTTTTCAATGTTCGATTTTTTTTTAATGGAGCAGCAAGTCACATAAAATTGTATATGAGTACTTGGGTGAATTTAAAATCAGTTCATTTTCTAAATTGACAAAATAACCCGTCATTACAGAAAAATGTCTTTTCAAACCAATCCATGCCCTATTAATCTTCACTAAATCAACTGGGATAAGTACCGCTTATAAAGGGCAGTCAAGGTCCCCGGCGACAAGAATACATAGCTAAACTTACGGGTATGTAGGTTATTCTCATCAATCAAGTACGGATGTATTTAGAGTCGTTCACATGTTGGTGTCTTTGACATGGTACATGTATTTCAGTGTAGTAGCAATGTAAATTCGGTATCAGATCGGCGCTAACGTCGTTATATTGCCCGATAGTGTTCAGCAGAATTGATCACTTTCCCCGTATTATTCTGACAACTGAACGTCGATAGACGTGTTAATGTAGTTTAGCTGTGGAATGATTTAGATTAAGGAACATTAATAGCGAAAAAATGGTTCAGCGTTTTTTCAAAAGCAGGTCACGTTTTCTTACATACAAATACGTATCAATATACCATGTTTAGATGCCTTTATAGGTCAAGCTTATCAAATGTTAATATATTGGTCGAGTGTTAATTGTTCATACACAAATTTGGATTAAGGAATTAAACTTTGAAGTAGTCTATATAGCTAGCTACTCACTGTTTACCATAGCGTTAAGTTCAGTGTAATGGTGAACCCGGATTATCATATGTAATTTACTATAATGGCGTCTTAAATAACCCGTTTAATCGATTCCACTTCAATTAATTGCTTTTCCGTTTTTAATTGAAGTTTGTAAAAAATATAAAGAAATATATTAATAAAATCAGTTAAGGTAAATTGTAATTAAAATCCGAATTCAATTTTCCGTTCAACTGCCTACTGTCAAACATCAGTGTCAAGGATACCCACAGTACAGCTGTACCTATATATATATATATACATAAGTTGATGGTCGTGTTAATGATGTCAAATAGCCAATGTATAAGCATCAGGACCCGGATGCTAGTGCAAGTCTGGCCGGGCTTCAAGAATACATGTAACTGATGTGGGCATACAAAATGTAGCTGATGCAGCTTCAAACGCTTGGAGAATAGGATTGTTGGTGGGGAAACGATCCCTCCTTCAAGTCCAGATTGATGCATAAACTAACGAAACGCAAGTTATGTCGGTATCTAAATTGCATAACGCGTCATATTCGTTAAGAAAAAACCCGTCATACCCTTTGATTTACCGATGATAGAGGCTGTTGTAAAACAAAAGACAGACACACGAATACTCCGGATGTGAATTTAAAAACTTTCAAGTCTTATAAAAAGCATTTCTTTTGATATTCTTGTTGTGCTTCATGTCCTTTTTCTGTTCAATAAAGATACAAAATATTCTGTTTGGTTCTGGCCTCGATATGCTTTTTTTTTAAAGGGGGAAAATAAGTGCGTCTTGATGTCAATTAGAATTTAAGTCTTTTTAGATGAAAAGATGCCCGGAACATTCGTATTCCTATCTGTAGCAGTCCCATTAAAGTATCTTGATTGAAAAGTATTCTTGATGTCTGCACATAAATGTTACATGTACCATGCATCCGGGACAACAACAGTGACCTGATTAATAGTTGTAATATACACAGTCCTTTACACATACAGTCTCAGAAATGCTCCTTACAAACCGTTATTTTTGTAATTTTAAACACCCATTTTTTTTTTAAACCGTGACGAACAGCATAATTTCTGTCTCAGAAATCTTCATCATATTCTTCCATCTGCTTCATCTTAGTTTCCTATATTCGGATTTTCATTTCCGAATTTTTCAATTTGTTCTTTATGTTGTATACGATAAAAACATTGATGACTATAGCGATAATAACAAATCAATATAAAAAATGAATCATTAAAAGCAACAATTTTGTCAATCACCAAGCATTTTCTTTCTCCGCTTTCGTTTGGCCTCTTTCCCATTTTGAGTAGCATGCATTCCAGCGATATTTTGTCATATTTTGAATAGATTTTGATTGATCGAATTATAAAGATTGTTAGATCCGGGTTTGTATATAATAAAAGAGAGAGAGGGCCGCGGTGGCCAAGTGTTTAAGGCGTCTGACATTCTGCTACCATTAGCCCTCCACCACTGGGTCGAGGGTTCAAGACCTACGTGGGTCAGTCGCCAGTAGGTCGGTGTTTTTTCTCGATTCCATAGCTGTTAATGGGACGTAAAACACAAACAAACCACACCAAATTATTCAAAAAAACTCCGTTTTCAATAAAATTTCAGTAAACAGTAGAACCTGTGAGATTTAGTGTAAATACGCTAAAGTAAATGTATTTATTATTCCAAAAACATAACGCTCTTGTAACAAGATTAATTTACCAATACAAGGCCTATATTTCTGATATATCGATACACCATTGAAATTCTAACAGGTTCCGTTTAAACTTGAAAGATCTCAACACAATATTTACCCTTGACCATTGGTCACTATTTATACAGTATAGCATGAGAATGGTGGTCAGAAATTTTGGACTGTGTCAATATTAAGTACTTCAAAAAGTAAAGAACATGTTACAGTCAATACCTTCTTCAAATATGTGAAGACCTTATATTTAGGTTAAGCTTGTCCACACACTGTGCCCTGGAGAGGTGTGTTAATGCATTGCGAATTTTACGATACAGAGTTAAGTAGGGTAAGAGTAAGAAAATTATGAA